CTTAGTTTAGACTATTTTATTGATGATTTCTAGTTTGAAGTTTGTTATATTTGATTTAAAACTAAGAATTGCTAGTTGTAATTCTTGGTTTGGATTGGAATTATTGATATTTGGATTGGTATTTATAAATTTGAGTACTTAGTTTATACATATATTTATATTTATACCTTTATTAATTCATTGTTAGTATGATTTTTATGCGAGTTATATAGAAATTATGTTTAAAATGAATTTAACAAGTAATTAATGTTTTGGTTGAGCATTAATTTAAAAGGAATAATTTACATAAACCAGTCCTAATCACTTAAGTTGCTCCCATATCATTAAACAAGTTAGGGTAGTCATTAATTCATTTCCAAAGAGCATTCTTATCACTGATTTCTTAAAATTCAAATTTCTATTTTTTATTCTCTCTTTATTAAAAATATCAAAAAAAAATAGTTTAGATTTATTTATTTATTTTCATAATCAATTTTATAAAAAGAAAAATCCATTTTCAAACCTCCCTTTTTTTTTAATGTTTTTGTCACTTAGTTAACTAGGGAATTAATAAAAAGCTCTTCAAGAAACATAACCCGAGTTGTGCTTTACTGCACAATTTCATTTTATTTTTTATTTAATCCAAGTCAACTAAAAAGGTTCAAATCAATGCTAAACCATCAAAGAAAGCATTTGCTACTCCTCAACTGTCTATACATTTAAATAAATCGCCTTGATTTCATTTAAACATACCAACTACACAAACGAGACACTTCAATCTTGAGAAGTTAATATACAACAACAATTGTCACTACATATAAGAAGGAGGGTAAGATGTAGTATTGGACGTTACTATCTGTGAGGTAGATAATTTTTCTCTTATAAACTTAATCATTATTTATTTTTTTATAATAATCTATTCATTACTTTTTATTTTTAATTGATATACATCTCATACTAATTTCATAATTATTTTTAACATTATTATGTAATTATTAATACTTTCCTATAATTATTTAGTCATTTTTTATTCAAATTATTGTTAATTATTAATACTTTTCTCCAATTACGTAAACATGATTTTTTATTCAAATGATTACTAAATCATTATGCTAATCATTCCATTTTTTAATTTATTAGATGAGAAGGTGGGAAATTATTCTTCAGGTGATGAAGTTTTAAAATTGTTCACTAGCAGGACGATTTTAAGTCACTTCACTCGAATGAATGGTTGATAAAAAATTTTGAAGTTTTAAAATTTTGGGAAAATTGCAAATAAAGACCCCTCAATATATAAAATAGCAATCAGGGACCCTGAATTTGAGAAATTGCTCACAAGGACCCGGTCCCAATTTGCAATTATGAAATGATGGTAGAATGTCCAAAATGCCCTCTGTTTTTCTCTCTTTCTTCCTCTCCAGATCATCTTCTTCCCGACCTTGCCTCCTCATTTTCCTCTCTCTCTTCGTTCTCTCTTTCCTCTCCAAGTTTCCTTCCCTCTCCTCACTCTTTTCCCAGAGTATATGGAACTCCCAATGTCTTTCGGTGGTCCTCTCCTCATTGTCATCCCCGTCATCTTCTTTTTATCTTGCTTACCTGCTCTTTCGTCAACAATGAAGCCTTTTCCATCATTCTCTCTGTTGCTGTGGAAGGAGAGGAGAGTCGGGAGTTTGAGGGAGAGTGACAGTCATTTGTAATGCTTGTAATGTTTGCTTGCAATGTGTGTGGTGATTGCTTGGTGCTGAGACAATGCCCAATAAATCTGGATTTTTATTCTTCATTTCTATTTTGATTTTCAGCTTGTGTTCGTAATTGAAAATAACGAGTTTGATAAGTTGTTGAAAATAACAAGTTGACAAGTTCTGATACCCAGTTCACGACAAGTTCAGTAATGCGAATAACAAGTTTAGCAAGGCGAATAACAACTTCTGATAAGCAATTCATAGAAATTCGAGTTTCTCTGTTAAAATGACAGTATTTTCAGATTTCTTTAGCAGATGACAAGTTCTGATACACAATTCATGACAAGTTCAGTAAGGCGAATGACAAGTTTAGTAAGGCGAATGACAACTTCTGATAAGCAATTCATAGAAATTTGAGTTTCTGTGTTAAAATGACAGGTTCCCAGTAGGTTTTCATACTTTTTCCTATTAAAATGACTGGATTTCCACATTGATTTATCAAATGACAGGTTTATAATAGAAAATGACAAGTTTTCATAAGATTTTTATGCTTTTTTTTTTGCTGGAATTACAATTTGCACATTTCTGACAGCAACAACTTCTGATAAATACGAAATGACAAGTTCAGAATGAAAAATGACAAGTTAAGTATAGCAAATGACAAGTTCCCACAATGTTTTCATACATTTTCATACTTTTTCTGCTAAAATTACAATTTGCACATGTCTGACAGCACCCACTTCTGATAAACACGAAATGACAAGTTCATAATGGAAAATGACAAGTTAAGTATGGCAAGTGACAAATTCCCATAATGTTTTCATACATTTTCATACTTTTTCTGGTGGGATTACAATTTGCACATTGCTGATAGCAATCACTTTTGATAAACAATAAATGACAAGTCCACAATAGCGCATGACAAATTAAGTATGTAAAATGACAAGTTCCCATCACGTTTTCATACAAATGTAAATTTCTCTACTGAAATAACAATGTTCAGATTTCTGACAGCAACCACTTCTGATTAACATCTTTCATCATCAACTTCACCTCTCATTTCCTCCTAATGTATAAAACTATAGCACCAGAACTCTCATAAGCCCCTCAAGAAGCATGCTCATATCAACACCAGTGGCAAATGCACTACGATGATCATATCCACTCACAAGTGCATCCTCAACCATGAAATCCCAAATATAAATTGCCATATCATATGAACAAGAAACCATCAAATTCTACATATAAAGCGAGAACTTTATTCGTTTAGCACTGTATTTAGGGCTCGTTTGTTCCTCACATGCCACACCTTGATCTATTTTTCCACCGAAATACAATCATCATACTTGATTTTCACAATTTAGAGCTTGTTTGCAATTATCAGAAGTGGGTGCTGTCAGACATGTGCAAATTGTAATTTTAGCAGAAAAAGTATTAAAATGTATGAAAACATTGTGGGAACTTGTCATTTGCTATACTTAACTTGTCATTTTTCATTCTGAACTTGTCATTTCGTATTTATCAGAAGTTGTTGCTGTCAGAAATGTGCAAATTGTAATTCCAGCAAAAAAAAGCATAAAGATCTTATGAAAACTTGTCATTTTCTATTATAAACCTGTCATTTGATAAATCAATGTGGAAATCCAGTCATTTTAACAGGAAAAAGTATGAAAACCTACTGGGAACCTGTCATTTTAACACAGAAACTCAAATTTCTATGAATTGCTTATCAGAAGTTGTCATTCGCCTTACTAAACTTGTCATTCGCCTTACTGAACTTGTCATGAATTGTGTATCAGAACTTGTCATCTGCTAAAGAAATCTGAAAATGCTGTCATTTTAACAGAGAAACTCGAATTTCTATGAATTGCTTATCAGAAGTTGTTATTCGCCTTGCTAAACTTGTTATTCGCATTACTGAACTTGTCGTGAACTGGGTATCAGAACTTGTCAACTTGTTATTTTCAACAACTTATCAAACTCGTTATTTTCAATTACGAACACAAGCTGAAAATCAAAATAGAAATGAAAAATAAAAATCCAGATTTATTGGGCATTGTCTCAGCACCAAGCAATCACCACACACATTGCAAGCAAACATTACAAGCATTACAAATGACTGTCACTCTCCCTCAAACTCCCGACTCTCCTCTCCTTCCACAGCAACAGAGAGAATGATGGAAGAGGCTTCATTGTTGACGAAAGAGCAGGTAAGCAAGATAAAAAGAAGGTGACGGGGATGACAATGAGGAGAGGACCACCGAAAGACATTGGGAGTTCCATATACTCTGGGAAAAAAGTGAGGAGAGGGAAGGAAACTTGGAGAGGAAAGAGAGAACGAAGAGAGAGAGGAAAATGAGGAGGCAAGGTCGGGAAGAAGATGATCTGGAGAGGAAGAAAGAGAGAAAAGCAGAGGGCATTTTGGACATTCTACCATCATTTCATATTTGCAATTTGGGACCGGGTCCTTTGAAGCTATTTTCCAAATTCAGGGTCCCTGATAGCTATTTTATATATTGGAGGGTCTTTATTTGCAATTTTCCCTAAAATTTTTTAATTTAACCCTTGAGTTCTAATCGAATAAATAATCCATAAAAAAATGGGCTTTAAAGGTGAACAGGCCCAAACTAACACTCAAAAGAGTCTTGAGATTCAGGAACCATGGTTTGCTCACCTTGGATACTAGAATCCACAGCATTCGCCATTGGGCTCTCCAAATCCAGCCCAATATTGTCATCCTGCTCCAGGAAGTCGCCAAGGTAATGAGGTAAGCATAATGGCCCACCTAATTCATCCATCTAATCCTCTTCCCTTGTATCATCCGTAGGAATTTCTTTGTTGCCGCCATCTTCACTCCCCCGAAATTCATCTTCATTACTCTCACTCAGAGTCAACATCAATAGCTCTTTACTTCTCCTGTGGTTTTGGAACATCACACGAATCTCACGAGTTCTCTTCTCCCTTCTCATTTTCTCCTCCAAATTTCTCTCTTTAATTACTCTGCAAAGATGCATTCGTTTCTCCACAGATTGGGACCACTTCAAAAATGGATCCGTTATCCCTGATTTGCTTTTTATCATGCGCGCCCTTCTTCTCTTTCGTACTCCGTGTGTTGTTTGTGCGCACACTACCGTCACTGATAGTCCTTTCTGCAGGTTCTGTAGGTAGTGGTATATCCACATCATTTCCATTAATTTTTTCTTGATTTTCCTTGTCAGCTAGAATACCAAACCTCGAGCCTGGGTTTTGCTGCCGGAGAGGATCTTCCGTCTTCTCTTTCCCTTTCTTTTGCCGACGGGCTTTTTGAACAACCTTCCAAGTCTCTGGTCATTTAGAGCTTTATGCCATATCATTCCCCTCCTTAGTTTGCTTGTCATTGTCTCTGTTCAACGTTGGAGCCCCATTTCTAATTGTATCATTGGTTTTTGAGGGACAACTTTCGCATCTGTGGCCAGAGCAGAGCAAATGTAGCCCCTCATATTCAAGATAGTAGTCTTCTCCTTCCAAAGAGAATCCTGACATACGCTGCTTTTCTAAGTCAACTAGAACGCATATCCTAGCATAGTGACCTCTTAGTTGACAAGAGGCGTTAATATCAATATTCAGAGTTTCTCCAATTCTGTTTCCAATTCTAGTCAAAGCTTCTTGATCATAGTATTCCAGAAAGACTCTTGGTAATCGAACCCATACGGCCACCTTGTCTATCTTCGTTCTTGCTGGGCTAAACCATGGTTCCCAAGGTCTCACAGTAAGATAGTGATCATATATCATCCATGGTCCACCTGTCAGAGCATTATAATGATCTTCTTTGTTAGAAAGCTTAACAACATAGTAACCATGTCCAATATTGATCTTGGCCCATAAGCTCTGAAGTCGTGATTCCAGCGCCTTGTATCCAATAGTGGTTTCCAGAAGCTTAACAATAACTGACTTATTCCAGGCTCTATATAACCGCTTCCTCATCTTGCTCGAGAAGTAGAATGTAGGAAAATTTCGCTATGGATCTTCTCTTATCCGACATGGCGGTTCTTCAACCCCTGGCATGACTTTTCAGAGATAGAATCATCTGACATGTTATCATCTTGCGCTTGCTCCACAGCAGACTGATCCTCTTTTTCATTTGTACCTTTTAGCTTATCGGCAAAGGAAGGTCCTCCTTGCAGCATTGGAGGCTTCTGTTCCAGTTATGGCCAATGAACATTCCACGCATTCGAAACATGTTCAAACTTTGCATTCTTAATCTTCTTTGAGCTCCTCATCAACAAATCATTTTCCCCAGTAGTTTGAGGAACCACAGCTTTGTCCTTACCAGCAGTCACAAGCGCTCTTTCTGACTGAAATTTCTCTTTTAAAATAAGTGCTTTCACATTTCTCCGCATATATTTATATAGCACAAAATCAATTTTCCACCGCTATTAAAAAAAATGATGCACTGGATATGTCGCATGAGTCGCAAGCCTTAACTAGCACCACATATAAAGCCCAAATGCCGAAGACACGTTGTGTTTGTCCCAAAGCTACAAAAACCTGAGTAATTATATAAATTTATGCTCATATGGTTATATATTTATAAGGTACTCTTAACATGTTTTTCTAAAATGAAGACAAGTCTTAAATATCATTAACTTTGTCTTAAATTTAATAAATTTTCAATTTTACTGCTATTATACAAAGGGATTAAATTCAAATTTGCCTCAAAAATTTTCATTCTGAAGTGATGGGTATTCAAAAAATCTTTTAGGTTCAATGTGGTCCTAAAAGTTTACAAATCATAATAATTTTGTCTCGACCATTATTCACGTTAAATTTGATCATTAGTTGACTAAGTATGCTGAACTGACAGGGTCATGTGTCATCCACGTCATTTTATTTTTGATTGAGATACAAAGTTGTCAAAAAAGATTTTACTTAAAATACTGGATATTCAGAAGTTTTTTTAGGATTTAATATGATTCCAAAATTTTCAAATCGTAACATTTCTTCTTGACTGTGATTCAAATTAAATTTGACTGCCAGTTAATCAAATATGCTGCCCTGGCAAGTTTATGTGACATCCACTGTATTTTTTTAAGTCAGACTTATAAATAAGGAAAAAAATTCAAAAACATACATCTCGCTTAGAGGCAGAAACATGTTATGCTATAAAGAGAAAATCGAAGAGGTATTCGCCTATCCCAGCGTCACTGGGGTACGATGGCGGAGGATTGTCAGCGGACTTGTTCTTGATAATCCCCCTTGATGTGTCATGCATCCATTAATTGGATCTTTCTTTGTTACTCTATGATGAATCTGGGCTCCTCCTCCACCTGTGGCTGCTTCTTCAACGTTGTTCACTTAGAATGTTTAACCAATTAATGGTCAAATTTAATATAAATAACAGTCGAGGGTGATATTATTACTATTTAAAAACTTTTAGAGTGATATTGAACCCACAAATTTTCAAATATCCAGTATTCTTAAGTGAAAATTTTGTGAGCACATTTGCACCTTAACAAAAATAACATAATGACATGTGGACCTACTAAGCTAGCATATTTGATCAACTAATAATTAAACTTAACATGAATAATGACTGAGGCAAAAATACTACAATTTGAAAACTTCTAGTACAGCATTGAATCGAAAAAACTACCAGATAACCAACACATATAAATAAAAACTTTCAAAAAAAAATGGCCATATTAACCCATAAAAAAATTACTTGACATAACAATAAATTATGGATAAAATTTTGTATTTATACAATAAATTTAATGCTGCAAGGGACGCCCAATTTGGACCCCTTTAGTAGTCAAAACTCAATTTTGAGATCTATCTTGTACCTTTTGCACCCTAGGAAAGATTAATTTTTGATGTTGTCAAGGAATACTTAGCTTCCAATAGGATGCAGCACTGAACAATAGATTATCTTCTTTTATATGAGACCTAATCGGAATTAAATTTGTCTACACCACCAAATATCATAAAAAAACTTTCAGTTAAGTCTCACAATCTGCAGATCAAAAAAAAAAAGTCTCACAATCTGAACTTAATAAGCAAAAAGTTTCAAAGATTCTGAAACTTCAAATCGGTCTCTCTGTCCCATAGTAAAATCAAACTGTGAAGTCTTTTCACAGAAATACCTTACCTGAGTACTTATAAATTGAGTTGTAAATTTTCATATGTAAAATTGTTTTTTTTTAATCTTTTGTTGTTAAAATTTGTATCCCCACTTATAACTTTTCAATACACTCATAAGTTGTGTTGTGAATTTCTATACGTAGAGTTGTTATTTTATTTTTCTTTATTATTAATTTTCATATTTTGAATTGCTACTTTTTTTGGGTAAAAAAGAGTTATTATTTTATATTATTTGTTATAAATTTTCATATGAATTGTGTTGTTTGTAAATTTTGATATGTAGGATGGTTATTTTTCTGTTATTTATGGTTAAAATTCGTATCTTCACCTGTCGCTTATCTTAGCATTTATAAATTGAATTGTAAATTTTCATGCCTTGAGTTATTATTTTTATATTCTTTGTGATTAAATTTTTATCCCGCTTGTAAGGGCAACATAATCTTTTTGCTTTCTCTTTTAATTTCATTTTATGCCTAAAAGACTCTAATGATATTTTAAAATGTTTTGGTCCTTTTTTTTTTAATAATAATAGTCTCCTAATATCAAATGGCTTGTTGGTTGAAAAAAAATTGTTTAGATGATAAAAAGATCACTATATGGTATTCCTCATCATGGGAGGATGACAAAAAAAGAAGCTAACAATTATTAAATCTCAAATCAGGTTTAATAATAATATTTTATTTGGTGTTGACAACATTAAATTTGTAAATAACAACAAATTCTTGTTAACATTCCTTATTTAACATATACAAATTTTTAACTTTTTATTTTGTCAGTTTCCCATTGCTAATTTCATTTTTTGATTCAATGTATTTTAAATGGGTTTTTATCTTTTAAATAGCAAAAATGCCTTGTTTCTAGGAATAACCAAACAAATACTAATAAAAGATAGGGAATATTGGGGAGAAGTATTCATTGAAATTTTTATACGGTGGAAAGCACCCAAATCAAAATACTAATACTGATACTAATAGGAGTTGAGTTTAGTTAAAGTATTAGTCTTTCACAACGTGATAGATCAACATTTGAATTTCTATTAAAAGTAGTATTCATATTTAGTACCCAATAGCATCACGAAGAGGATTGTTTCAAATAATAAAATAATTGTATCTAGCACACAAAAAAAGCTAATACTTAGCATGTACAAATTGGAGAACATAATGATATTTTCTCTGCATGAAAATTTATAGGGCCATTTCAACTAATAAAATTTTTAGTGAGAGACTTTTTCTATTTTCTTTAAAAAAAAAAAAAAAACAAAGCAAAAGTAAGGAGGCTGATTTGCCCAATAATCATCATTCAAAACCATTTTTTCTGTCCTCCATGGGGTTTCGCAATTTGGTCATGCGGCTCAGTGGGAAAACGTGGAAAACAGCAAATACATATTAACTTTGTAGCCATTCCAAATCCCAAAAGTCAAAAAGGCCGACATCCTTACCGTCATCCACTGCCTCTGCCTCCCCATTCTCCTGCGCTAGATTTCCGGCAGGATTTATTAGAGAGCTGTACCGCCTTTTTTCCCCGCGAAATTTAAGAGATAACATGACGTCGATTCTAAATATAAAAACTAATCAATTAATTTAAATAAATTAAAAAATAATTTAAATTAGTTATTTATAATAAATAAGTATTATCTTATCTAAAATATTTTTACTAATTAAATATATCAATTAGAATTATAATTATTAGAAAAATGATCTTAGAAAAAATGTATACATATGAAAAACAAGATGAATTAGGATTTTATATTGAACACCAAAATAAAAATTAAACAAAGTCTTATATTAAGAATCAGAAGTAATATTTTATAAGTTTTAATTTGATTTTGTCTTATAATATATATTTTTTATTTCGTTCTTAATTATTTATTCTTTATTTTAATATATTCTTTCTTATTGTATTTGTTAACATATTCTCTTTTATTTTTTTTATTTATTATAAGAATATATTTGACGGAAAATATATGTTTGTAACCTTATAATGAGAAAGAGAGGAATATATTTTTATAAAAATATAATTTTTATTACCAGCTTTTTTATGAGATATTAATTACATTTTTTAAGATTGCTTATATTTAAAATTTAATGTAATTCTTTTTCACGTTCTTAAATGTAAGTCATTGTTTTAAATAAAAAAAATTTTCATTTTCAAACAAACGTATGGAAAAAAATTTTTATTAAAGACCGCAGATGGGAATTAATTTTAAACAGCTCCCAAAAAATCTAAAATTTCACTGAAGAACCCAAAGGGCAAAATGAAATTAATTTTAGAGAGTAAAAGATATTTTACCCCTTACTTGTAACCCTGAAGCTCTTTACCCTCTCTCTCTGTGTTAAATCTATCGAAACTCAAGCTCTTCTTTCTCTCACTGTCTAAAAAAATGTTGTTGGGTTGAAAGAGATCATTCGTCATTGTTGTTATTCAGGTAAGGAGAGCGTTTGCCATGGGTGTTGTTCTGGTAATAAGAGCCTTGCTGTCACCATAGTCTCTTCCTCTGTGTGTGTGTACGTCACCTCTTTCACTATATTTGCATTCAAAAATTTCTGCATACTGTATTTGCATTCAAAAATTTCTACATATAATAGTGCAAAATCCTTCTCTATTTCTTCTATTGCAGATTTCATCAGTTTGATTTGAGTTGTTGTAAAGTTATGAAGCAATTTCATCAGTTTGATTTGAGTTGTTGTAAAGTAATGAACCAATGAGATTTGAGATAATATTATAGAGTGGGTTGATTTTAGATTCACACCATTGAGTGTTGAGAATAAGCATTTCTGTTCATGTCATGAGTTCAGCACTTTTGTTTCTGTCATGAGTTCTGTTATGAATTTACAAATTTTACTTCTCCAGAAAAATAGTGATTTGGTGCTGCGAAAACTCGTATTTTTGTTGTGAATTCACAAATTCCTGTTATAAATATATACTGTGTTTAATTTTTGCAAATTGATTGAAATTAATACTTGAATGATGTGCAGCAACATATTATATATGACTAGCAGTAGTGGAATTAAATTTTTATTAATTGATTGATTATTTTGCGTTTTTATTGTTGCATCTATGTGAATGTATTGATGGTTCTTATCTTTATGCCATAGAAACAACACACTGTACTAAAGTCTAAGTTGTTGTGGTGGCTCATTACTTACAGAAAAAATACAAAGTCAGGCGATGTTACAAACGGATAAAGACACAAAAAGGAAAAAGCAATGACATAACAATTGTTATATTTATATCTAAGATGTAATTTAAGTTACTTTAGAATGTGTTCAAATTTGTGTGTAGAGAATTTGTACAATTTTAGTTTGAGGGAATATATATTATGAGTATGTTTCATATCAATTAATTATAATCTTCTGTTTATCCCCACTAGTTTATAAGTATATGATATATTACTGACAAATGAAATTGGGAAATTTGTAAGAAAGATATATTGCTTAACAACTTCATGTTTTGGAAATGTGGCTACCATATTGACAATTGAAATTAGAAAATCGGCAAGAAAGATACATATACTAACAACAAAAACACGTCTATTTGTAAGTGAACTAAATGAATTGAAGAAGATGAATATAATTCACAAGACTAGGAAGGACTATTTACAAGTGAAATTAAACAATTTGCAACACAGATACACCCATTAACAATAAAAATACGTTTATTTGCAAGTGGATTTATTAACTTCATGAACACAACAATTCATAAGTCTGGAAGTGATAGTTCACAAGTGGAATTAGAACATTTGTGACACAATTACGCCCATTAATAATATAAATACATTTATTTGCAAGTGAATTTATTTCATTCATAAGTTAAACAGAACAATTCACAAGTCTAAGAGTGACGGTTCATAAGTAGGATCAGGATATTTGCAACAAAGATACGCCCATTAACAATATAAATACGTCCATTTACAAGTGGATTTATTTTATTCATAAAGTTAAACAGAATAATTCACAAATTTGAGATTTACTGTAAAATTAGGATATTTGCAACACGGATATACCCATTAACAATATAAATATATCCATTTGTAAGTAGATTTATTTCTTCATAAAGTTGAATAAAATAGTTTACAACTCCAGGAGTGACAGTTCAAAAGTAGAATTAAGATATTTGCAAGACGGATACACCTATTAACAACATAAATACATCCACTTGCAAGTGGATTGATTTGTTCTGCATTTACATAGTTGCCAGCCAATTTTAGTGCAGTATTTCATGTATCATTTTGCTTTCTAAGGTCTTTACAGATTCGCCTCCTGCGTAAAAGATGCAAAATAATTGCTTTCCACTACTGCTAGCCATATATAATATGTTGCTGCATATCATTCAAGTATTAATTTCAATCAGTTTTCAATAATTAAACACAGTATAGGTTTATAACAGGAATTTACGAATTCACAACAAAAATATGAGTTTTCACATCATCAAATCACCATTATTTTCCTGGAGAAGCAAAATTTGCAAATTCATAACAAAACTCATGACAGGAACAAAAATGCTGAACTTATGACAGGAACAGAAATGCTTACTCTCAACACTCAATGGTGTAAATCTAAAATCAACCCACTCTATAATGTTATCTCAAATCTCGCTAGTTCATAACTTCACAACAACCCAAATCAAACTGATGAAATCTGCAATGGAAGAAATATAGAAGGATTTTGCAGTATTATATGCAGAAATTTTTGAATGCAAATGCAATGAAAGAGGTTGCATACACACACACACAGAGAGAGAGAGAGATTATGGTGACAGCAAGGCTCTTGTTACCAGAACAGCACTGATGGTGAATGCTCTCCTTACCTGAACAACAACAATGGCAAATGATCTCTTTCAACCCAACAACATTTTTTTAGATAGTGAAAGAAAGAAGAGCTTGAGTTTTGACAAATTTAAGAGAGAGAGAGGGTAAAGAGCTTTAGGGTTATAAGTGAGGGGTAAAATGTCTTTTACTCTCTAAAATTAATTTCAGTATGTCCCCAGGTCCTTCAATGAAATTTCAGAATCCTTAACTAAAATTTCAAATTTTTTTGGGGGTGTTTGAAATTAATTCTTATCTATGATCCTTAATCGAAAATTTTCCTAAACTTATTGAGTCATGTCTTCTTGATTCTAATAAATTGAGGCAAGGCCTCTTATAACAGGAAAAGAGTGGTAATGTGGTTTTTTTCTCCCACTAACATCACTTGAAGTTAAATCTATTTATCTCGCAAATTTATAAAAATGGATTTGGACTCTCAAATTTATTAAAATATTGATTTCAAAAAAACATATTAATATCTTAATTTACTCTTCATTATAAATGTAACCTTTTTTATGACTAACAAAGCAAATACCATATTACTTTACAAATAGGCTAATTTTTGTGACAAATTATCTAATATTTGGAGTGGTGGGATTATATATATATCTCCAAACAAGAACAACCTTTTTAAAAGGTATTCTTCTTGTCGTATTCATAAGTCACTTCTAACATCTTTCACACAAACCAACAAAAATCTTAAATTTTATTAACTTTCATTTAAAACTCAGTAACTTTTTAATTTTATCCCTATTTAATATATATTATACTTCATATAAACAAAGTCAACAGAATAAATAAAAGATAAAATTGTACATCCATATAAAAAATTTCTCTACCTTATAAATAAAACCAAAAATATTTTTCTTGCCTGTCCTATAAATAGGATTGGAGAGAGTATTATTTACCTCCCTATGAATTTGAATTTAAAACTTTATTTTTAAACAATTTGTTTTTTGCTCTTGTCACTTGCTCCAACGCATTTTCCCCCTTTTCTTTTATTGCTGCTGCTAGCGCAATCATGAGTAAGTTAATTTCTGGATTATACAAAACGAGCACCGCATAAAAATCACAGGGCACAAGTGACAGTAATCTTAAAAAGAAAAAGAAATAGACATAGGCCCAAAAAAACAAATGAAAAGTCAAAATAAAGTGGGTCCCACAATTGAAAAAGCCAAATACTACGTAATTTTTTTCCAACAGAAAAGGTTAAATAAAGATGAAGTGAAGAGACGTCAACAAGTTTTTTTTCCTTCCTTCTGGTCATTCTCGTCGTATATTCTCGGGAAACAGATTCAAGCGAGCAAATCACCCGGCTGAGTGCAGAATTCTCCTGCAACAAAGATGAATGAAGATGCAAACCGCCTAGCACAATACTAAGTTTCATAAACATAATGTTTATGGAGAAAATATTAAGATTCTCATGACAATCATTAAAATCCATTCAAAAAGTTTACAATGTAAAAGGATTAGTTACTGTTATCAGTTATGAATATCATGAACTCAATTGGGAAAAAAAAGAGAGAGAGAGAGAACGAAATGAATGAAGATGCATAACTTATGGCAAACATGAAGGAGAGCTCAAGGTTAGAGAATTTTTGTTATTTCTGAATCTTTTTCATGACCTTTTCGTCTATCTTTGGCAATTTTATATTTTGTTCTTTTGAATAATGACATAAGTACAAGTCATTTTCTTATTTTTAAAATTCTTAAACCAAACTGAACTTAAAAATTGAAGTAAATGTCATCTAACAATAAGCGAGACAGATGCCCAAAAAAAAAAAATCCTCACTAATAAGCAAGTTTATTTTAACAAGACAGCGACATTTATTACAAGTATATCGTTTAACTAAGTTTAATCAAACTCTATATTTGAATGGAACAGATTCTTTTCTTCTAGTTTCAGGCGAAATTAATACTTTGCTTAGGTCATGTAAAAGTTAAAACTTTAAAAAACTACAAGGAATACCTTTCCAAGTAGCTTGAACAATCTCATGAACAGCTTTTATCCAAAATTTTTGCTAAAGATGATACCTTTACCTTTATTCATAGACAGATTGTTTTTTTTTTTTGGCCTGAAAAGACAGATTGAGAATATGGAAGAGATTTCCCCAAAATCCTTGTGTCTTGATGATTTTCAGGTAAACCCGAGAGGCTTTTTAAAATGATGGCATCAAACCAGAACATGAAAGAACTTCAATGGTTTTTGCAAGCTGTCAAATATGGAGGCCTCAATCTCCATAGCATCTCCTTCTACCTTTCACAAGCGGCTTCAGGATGCTACCAGGAAACAGAAAACTCCATGAACATAAACATCTCCGGGGAAAGCATTTCTTATTTCTCACACCTCTTGACCACATTAGCAGCATCTAAGAATGCAAAATCCACTCTGAGAAACCTCGAGTTTCACTTAGTGCAATGGGAAGTACAGGAAGTGAAAAACCTAGGGATTTTGCTGGAGAACAACCCAAGTATAAAACAAGTTGTTTTTAGAAGAAACAAGTTCTTGGGAAAATGTATGTCTGAGCTTTCTGAGATTCTGAAGAGGAATAAGATGATCAAGGAGATTATGCTTTCAGAATCAAATATCGGGTCTGTTGGGGCGGGCTATATTGCTTCTGCTTTAATGGTGAATCACAGCTTGGAAGAATTACAGATATGGGAAGACTCAATAGGATCAAGAGGTGCTGAAGAACTCTCCAAGATGATTGAGGTTAATCCAACTCTTAAATTGTTGACTATTTTCGATTCCAATGCTATTACAGCAACCCCACTTATATCTGCAGTGTTGGCAAGGAACAGAGCCATGGAAGTTCATGTTTGGAGTGGACAAAACAGTGGGAAAACCTCTAAGGTGGTTGAGTTTGTACCTGAAAATAGCACGCTTAGAATTTATCAGCTAAGTCTCTCGGGTTCTTGCAGGGTTGCTTGCTCTCTGGGAATGAACTTCACAGTTAAGTCACTAGACATGACTGGTGTGAGACTGAAATCCAAGTGGGCTAAGGAGTTCAGATGGGTTTTAGAACAGAATCAAACTCTCCAAGAGGTGAATTTGTTCAGAACATGTCTAAAAGACAAGGGCATTGTGTATATTGCGGCTGGTCTCTTCAAGAATCGTAGTTTGCTAACTTTACATTTGACTGGAAATTGGTTTACTGGGGTTGGTGTTGAACATTTATTGTGCCCTTTGAGCCGGTTTTCTGCCCTGCAAAGCCAAGCCAACATTACTTTGAAGTCTTTGAGCTTTGGAGGTGGAAGAACCAGAATAGGAAGGGATGGCCTAGCTGCTATACTTCAGATGCTAACGAGCAACCAAAGCATTACCCGGCTGGCGATACATGATGATTCGAGTCTGAGACCTGATGACTTTGTGAGGATCTTCAAGAGCTTGGAGAAGAATGCTACATTGAAATACCTGTCCTTGCAAGGGTGCAAAGGAGTACAAGGGGAGACATTGATCCAGACAATTATGGAGACACTGCAGATAAATCCATGGATTGAAGATCTTGATCTCTCAAGAACACCGTTACACAACTCTGGAATGACTCAAGGAATTTATAGAAGGTTAGGTCAGAATGAGAAGACAGAACCAGAAATGGATTTGCTCATGGACATGCCATTGACTGAGCCCAAGAGTTGTAGAGTATTCTTCTGTGGGCAAGAATATGCAGGTAAGATTAAATGACATGAAGTAGAAATATCAACACCAAACTAACTAACGAACATGACTTACGTGTGGATTTGATCCTTATTTGCAGGTAAAACCACTCTTTGTAATTCAATTTCACAGAATTTCTCAGCTTCAGCACTTCCCTACTTGGATCAAGTTCGCACTATAGTTAATCCAATGGAGCAGGCGGTGAAAACAGTAGGAATGAAGATAAAGACTTTCAAGGATGAGGACACAGAGATTTCAATATGGAATCTTGCTGGTCAGCATGAATTTTTCTCCCTCCATGATCTTATGTTTCCCGGGCATGGAAGTGCTTCGTTTTTCATCATCATATCAAGTTTATTCAGGAAGCCAAGCAACAAAGAACCTAAAAGCACAGGAGAGATTGAAGAAGACCTGCAATATTGGCTCCGGTTTATAGTCTCCAACTCCAAAAAGGCCGTACAACAATGCACCCTACCAAGTGTAGCAGTTGTTCTTACTCATTTTGATAAAATCAACCAACCATCACAGGATCTGCAGCTCACAGTGAACTCAATACAGAGATTGAGAGACAAGTTTCAAGGCTTTGTTGATTTTTACCCAACTGTGTTCACTGTTGATGCAAGATCATCAGCATCAGTCAGCAAACTCACTCATCACATCCGAAAGACCTGCAAGACGATTCTCCAAAGAGTCCCCCAAGTTTACCAGCTATGCAATGATTTTATACAGCTTTTGTCAGATTGGAGATCAGAGAACTACAACAAGCCAGCAATGAAGTGGAAAGAATTTGACACCTTATGCCAAGTGAAGGTTCCTGCTCTGAGAATCCGATCCCGACATGATAACAAGGAAAGAGTGGAGGTTAGAAGGCGAGCTATTGCAACCTGTCTTCACCACATTGGAGAGGTTATTTACTTTGATGAGTTGGGGTTTCTAATCCTGGATTGTGAGTGGTTCTGTGGTGAAGTACTTGGAGAGCTCATAAGATTAAAAGCTAGAAAGCAAAGCTCCTCAGAAAGCAATGGGTTTATTAGCAGGAAGGAGCTGGAAAAGATTTTAAGAGCAAATTTACAGAGTCCTATTCCTGGAATGGGTTCAAAAGTGTTTGAGAACTTAGAGTCTAGTGACATTGTAAGGATGATGCTGAAACTTGAACTATGCTATGAACAAGATCCATCAGATCCAAATTCTTTTTTACTAATCCCCTCTATGCTCGAAGAAGGGAGAGGAAAACCACAGAGGTGGTACTTAAGTACTCCAGACTGCATTTATGTCGGTCGTCATCTTGAGTGTCATGATTCAAGCCACATGTTTTTAACGCCAGGATTCTTCCCACGCTTACAGGCAAGATTTTCTGTCACCCCACTTTTCCCCTTCTTTTTCCATCATTTTGTTTTTATTTTGGCACTTTCTATTCTTCTGATCAAATGGTTTCTTGTTCTCTATCTTTTGAAGATTATGCAGTCTTATAATTGCTTTTGCTTTTCGATTATGCTTGTTCACAGAATGTCAAGTATTAACACAACAACATATAAATGAAAAATTTCAGAAAGGAACAGCTGAGGCAAGAAGATCACTTCTTGTGACAAAAGTGTAAAGCTAGTGCCACATATGTTTTGGCAGTTTGACAAGATTGTGTGTAGAAGAAAGCAGATAAGAAGAAAAGGATTAAAAAAAACAAAAGAAAAGAATGAAAATTTTTATTACACTTTTGTTGGGCTGAAAATTTTGTTACACTTGGAGAAGCTGAAACATTTTCTCTAGCAACAATGTCTCCTTCAAATTACTGCTAGTTTCAAGATTCTAATCTTCTCATTCTCTGATTCAAACTCTGATATCTTGACTGTTTCACTATTTCACTCTAGGGAAGCTACAATATTTTGGAATTTTGAAAACTTCCCCTACTATGCCCTTTCTAAATGAATTTTATTTATTTTGGGTAGGTACATCTTCACAACAAGATCATGGCTCTAAAGAATCAAAGTGGAGCAACTTACAGTCTCGAGAAGTACCTCATTTCAATCAGCATTAATGGAATCTACATCAGAGTAGAACTAGGAGGACAATTGGGATACTACATTGACATTCTTGCTTGTTCCACCAAGAACTTGACAGAAACCTTAAGAGTCATTCAACAACTCATAGTACCAGCAATTCAAAGCCTGTGCCAAGGAATCACCTTGACTGAAAATGTTATAAGACCTGCTTGTGTTCAAAATCTGACACCACCTAGATATAGAAGAACTCAAGTTGTTTCCCTACAGCAATTGAAACAAGCATTGCTTTCACTTCCAGCAGATGGCATGTATGATTATCAGCACACATGGAGTCCCGTCTCAGATTCCGGGAGGACTATTCTGCAAGCCGGCTTCAATTTTGCACGGGACATTCTTTCCGATGATGATTTCCGGCAAGTGCTACACCGACGATATCATGACTTGTACAATCTCTCCCAAGAGCTGCAAGTCCCACTGGAAAACAACCAATATGGACAAGATCATGCATCAGGCTTAAGTGAAGAAACTCAAACTGTAGAACCAAGCATCGGAGGCATTGCAGAAGGGGTTGAAGCAGTTTTGCAGAGACTTAAGATTATTGAACAGGAAATAAGAGATCTGAAACAGGAAATCCAAGGGTTGAGATACTACGAGCACCAGCTTCTCCTCGAGCTGCACCGGAAAGTAAACTACCTAGTCTCCTTCAATGTCCAAGTTGAGGAGAGGAAGGTCCCCAACATGTTCTACTTTGTGAAAACAGAAAACTACTCAAGGAGACTTATCACCACCATGATTTCTGGCATGACTGCTCTCCGGCTTCACATGTTATGCGAGTTCCGGGGTGAAATGCACGTTGTTGAAGATCAAACAGGCTGTGAACTAATGCAAGTTGATAACAGAGCTGTGAGGTCTTTGGCTCCTCATGTAAAGAACTTCATGAAACTGGTAACGTTTGCCCTTAAGATAGGAGCTCATCTAGCAGCTGGGATGGGGGAAATGATACCTGACTTGAGCAAGGAAGTTGCACATTTGGCCGGCAGCTCTTCCATGGCAGCTGGGGCTGCAGCAGCAGCCGGAGCCATGGGGGCTGCGGCTTTAGGTCGCCGGAATAGAGCAGCACAAGGTTCAAGGGATGTTCAGCAAGATTTAAGGGCAGCACAACAATGGATTGTGGATTTCTTAAGGGACAGAGGATGCTCATCAGGGAAAGATATTGCAGAAAAGTTTGGATTGTGGCGTGTGAGATATAGAGATACCGGTCAGATTGCATGGATTTGTAGGAGGCATATTTACACCAGATCTGCGGAGATACTTGAAGTGCCCATTTGAAATAATTGCCAATATGAGTTTGTTCTTTTTCATTTTCGTTGCCTTGTTCATTCTTTCACCATATCTAAATTTGAAAAACTTGACAAGGTTATCCACATGCATACATAGTTTACATTTATGGAGTTTCAGAACGCGGGGACTGTTTCAACGTTTCTGCTATTGCAACAGAATAACCACGATCATTTCTGGGTTACTGAACTAGAATTACAAAGCGCTTTCCTTTTTTTTTTTTTCCTTGACCAGACAAAGCGCTTTCCTAAACATATACTCCTCCGGTCCTTATTATAAGATCCAATTTGACTTTTTATTTGGTCCTAATTATAAGACCCAATCCATTTTCTCTCTTATATTTATGCATTTTTTTACAAGATAATTCTTCTAATAATGATAGTTTTAGTCAATATACTTAATTAGCAAAGATATTTTAGAAATAACAACACTTATTTATTATAAACAACCAACTTAACTTACTTCCTTAATCTCCTCAAATAAATCAATTGGGTCTTATAATTAGGACCGATGGAGTATATGTGAACGTATCCTATGAAATACTCCCCTAAGATGAAAAAAAATTACGTTACACAATCTTTCCTTTCGAATCGTCCATAGAGAATATAATAGTTATTTGAGTTATAGTAAAAAAATAAAAAATAAAAAAAGTTAAATTACACTGTTAAACTTTTTTAACCACAAGAATCACATAAGAAAAAGTTTTTTGGGCAGGCATGGCTCTATTTATGAGGTACACTTCAAGAATATATGAAATTTTAACCAATTTTTCCATGCTTGCCGTTAATTACAGGTTATATTACTAATTTATTGTTACACATGCCACTTTTTCCTACTCATTTTCTCTCCATAAGTAAATCGTATATTTGAGACCGGGGGGGGGGGGGGGGGGAATACTGTTTTACCCATTTATCGCCTTTATTCAGTTTTAGCAGAAACTCAAGTTACTTATATATATATATATATATATATATATATGTTATGTTAAATTTTTCAATCACACATGATCACGTATTTTATTTTTCTAATAACATTTAATTATAAACCCCCATGCAAAAAATGCAGAACACAGAGTCACGTGTAATTAGAGAATTTGATATAATTAATATAAGGAACTTGACGTAAATGTTTTCCTTTTAGGACGATGCAATTTTTTAATCTAAATAATTTGATTATTTGTATATTATATATAAGTTCGAAGGAAGTATTATTTAATAATCATTTAAACACATGTCAGCTATAATTAAAATAACTTTAATGCATACATGTTTTGTATAATTAATTTCTCATATATAAAATTAATTTTTAAAGACAAGAAATATTTTTTAATACTTAAACACATAAAAAAGTTGATTAATTCTATAGTTCCAAAATTTTTGAACACCTGGTCAAAAAGAAAAAACAGATTTTTTAACCTCATTATTTAAATGTATTTATTTATGCAGTAATCTTTCAAACTCAAACATTGGCCAAAACAATCTTTTGAAATTTTTACTAAATTTTAAAAATAATATATTATTTTGGTGGCATTAAGGAATCGTGGAACTACGATGATATTTTAATCAATTGGGAATTCCTTAAAGCAAGGCATAGATTGATAAACAAGACACATTTCAATATATTTTTAATGAACGAATATGAACTTCAGAATATTTTAAAGAATATTCTTAAGGGAAAATCCCAGAAAAAGCCCTTGGAATATACTAAATCCCAGATTGGACCCTTAAATTTTGAAAATGACAGAATGGGTCATTGACCCAATCTGTCATTTGTGAAATTCAGGCGAATTGACATTTTTGTCCCTGAGCAAAAGTGAGTAGTTATTCTCTAAACAAATCTAGGTAATGCTTACACTGTTCTAGTGATTACAAGATTCGTTGTAGTTAATAATAAGATACCTGACTATGAAAAAATGAGTAGTTATTCTCTATACAAATCTAGATAATGCTTACATTGTTCTAGTGATTACAGTATTAGTTGTAGTTAATAACAAGACACCTGACTATGAAAAAGTGAATAGTTATTCGCTATACGAATCTAGGTAACACCTAAACTCTTATAGTGATTCCTTGAATCATTGTAGTGAATGAATAAATGAGGGCAAAATTGTCAATTCGTTTGAATTTCACAAATGATAGATTGGGTTAATGACCCATTCTGTCATTTTCGTAATTTAAGAACCCAATCTGGTATTTCTCATATTCCAAAGACCTTTTTTGGAATTTTCCCTATTCTTAATGGTACTCTCTCGGTCCATTGTTATAAGAAGCCCACATATTTGACCCTTTAATTTTATATAGTTTTATTTTAGTCTCTTAATTTTAAAAATTTTAAAAAGTATTGTACCAAAAAAAAATTTTAAAAAGTATATTTTTTATCATTTAACTTAAAATTGCTAGTTTTAAATAATAATTTTTTTTACAACAATCATAGTTATTTTAAAAATTAAACTTACTATGTTAATATTTGAATAATATTTAACATATCAATGTTATTATTTTTTCTTAACAATTTTAGAATTAAAAAATAAAAGCATATTTGTTTTAAAGTTAAAAAACTAAATTAAAACTCTGTATAAAATTAAAAGATTAAATGTATACTTTAGGTTTATGTAAAACTACTAACAAATCACAATGTTCAAAATGTTAATTAAATTTAGTTAAAAATAATAAATATGTAAGACATATGTATATTTTTCTAATTATACTTTTTATCTATAAAGAGAGTACATAAGAGATAATGAATACAATTTTATTGCATGGAAATAATAAATGACATTTAATGAGAATAAAAATATGAAGACTAATTTAAAATTTCAAAAAGAAATTATTTATTACATTAACGGATATTATTATAAGAGAGATTATTTCTATTAAGAAAAGGCGGAGTGAGTATTAACAAATTGAATTAAGGCATAATTTTTTTAAAAATAAAAATAAAATTGTTTGTAATTAAGGTTAAAAAAAAAGAGAATTAAAATGAGGTCCACAAAAAAAAAAACGAAACATCCTTACAACAACCATATAATGACAAAAAATAACCATTTTTTATACTTATTTTGTAATTATTTTTTTATTGAGACTTGATTATAATTTTTTTAAGAAAGATAGGAAAAATATTGGGAAAATTACGTACAGGTCTCACAGAAGGCAATTTATTACTCTGAAGTCCCACGAAATGTCAAAATCACTAACAGGTCCTAAGGGACTTCAGAGTAATATTTTCGATTTGTAAAATGACATTATTGCCCCTCATATTCCAGATTCACATTTACTCTGTCATTGCGATTTACAACCTCAGCAGCGACCATTAACAACCCAATGAGAGGGTATTAACAACCCTAGCAGTATTCGTTAACAACTTACTTTATAGAATCATATAACATCCACATAAGAGTAAATTATAACCAAATAGTATAATACAACAACTTTAACACTAAAATGGGAAGTTTTTTGATATTATTAAGAATTTTAACTAGATCCAATAGGATTATAGTAATATTTTAATGCGAAGATCCATTTACAACCTCAACAGCGACTATTAACAACCGAATGAGAGGGCATTAACAACCTAAGCAGTATCCGTTAACAACTTACTTTATAGAATCATATAACCTCCATATAAGCGTAAATTATAACCAAATAGTATAATACAACAACTTTAACACTAAAATGGGAAGCTTTTTGATATCATTAAGAATTTTAACTAAACCCAATAGGATTATAGCAACATTTTAATGCGAAGATCCATTTACAACCTCAATGGTGAGTATTAATAACCCAAAGAGAGCTGTTGACAATCTAGGCAGTATCTGTTAACAACTAACTTTATAGGATAATATAACCTCTAATAACTATATAAGATTAACTTTAAGACTATTTAGTTATAATTTAGTTAGTTATAGTTAGAAGTTATATTATTCGATAAAGTTAGTTGTTAACAGACACATCTAAGATTGTTAACAGTTCTCCTTAGGTTATTAATACTTACTGTTGAGGTTGTAAATTGATTTTCGCATTAAAACGTTGCTATAATCATATTGGGTGTAGTTAAAATTCTTAATGATATCAAAAAGCTTCCCATTTTAGTGTTAAAGTTGTTGTATTATACTATTTGGTTATAATTTACGCTTATATGGAGGTTATATGATTCTATAAAGTAAGTTGTTAATGGATATTACTTAGGTTGTTAATGCCCTCTCCTTCGGTTGTTAATAGTCGCTGTTGAAATTATAAATGGATCTTCGCATTAAAATATTACGATAATCCTATTGGATCTAGTTAAAATTCTTAATGATATCGAAAAGCTTCCCATTTTAGTGTTAAAGTTGTTGTATTATACTATTTGGTTATAATTTACTCTTATGTGGAGGTTATATGATTCTATAAAGTAAGTTGTTAACGGATACTGCTAGGGTTGTTAACGCCCTCTCATTGGGTTGTTAATGGTCGCTGCTGAGGTTGTAAATCGCAATGACAGAGCAAATGTGAATCTGGAATATGAGGGCAGTAATGTCATTTTACAAATCGAAAATATTACTCTGAGGTCCCTTGGGACCTGTCAATAATTTTAACATTTTGTGAGACCTCAAGTAATAAGTTACCTTCTGTGGGACTTGTACGTAATTTTCCCAAAAGTATTTTCTTACTGACATGACAAGTGATAAGGATCCATGTTGCTGGAATGTACGAGTCTGTCAAGCGTGAAATAGCCGAAAGCAATTCCATATGTCATTTCGCCCCTTCCAACTTTCGCATTCTCCATGTGAACGTGGGACCATATCATCACGTATGAATATTGATTAGTATCCATATGGCTAGCTTACTGTTACATGGGATTGCATTTCGCAATTATCAACTTCCGAAATGAAAAGACACAGCAGATTGGATCAAACAGAGAAAAGTTCACGTTGTAGTTAAGATATAGAACCAAGCTTGTGAGAGAGAGAGAGTACAACAGAGCCATGATTCATCAGAGTCACCCTAAAACATCCCAAAGTACAGAAAGTAGAATAAGAAACCACACTAACACAGCACATTATTACATACATCCCACTACTGACATCAGTTTTCTTGTTCTAAAGATCTAAGGTCACTTGCATGTTTGGATATAAAAACTTGAACATGGGAATGTTAAAGCTCAGAAGAAAGCTCTGCTTCCATAAAACACACGAGAGTTATTGTTGCTCTTTGTTGATGCTGGTGACTCCAATTTCTTCTCTGAGCTCGAGTTCCCTGAACTCGGTGACCCGCTCTCGATATCTGGAAGCTTCATCTTCGCCAGCGACTCTGTAAACTGCTGCATGCTTTTCATGTACATGTCTACTATATCCTGCTGCACCACCATTGGTTCTGGCTCAATGTTCACAGACACAACAGGCTTAGGGAATGATTCATTTTCTTTGTTTGGAACCACCACCTTGCTTGAGGAATCACTCTCACCCATTCGATCTTTGGCATCCGCCAGGCGTTTCTCCTCTTTGGCGCCGGAAACTTGTTCCTGAGTGGGAGATTTTGATGCGGCAGCAGGAGGAGCAGCATCAGATGAGTCTGAGCTAGCTTGCACTGATGGGGAAGAAACCCCATTTGTTGATACAATGCTTGGTGGTGAATCAACGTTGGTAATGGCAGGTTGGGCAGACTCAACACTGCATGCTGAGAAGCTTTCTACAAGCTGAACACCTGCATCAGAGCTGTGATGATCAGCATCAGAAGTGGCCAGACTTTCAGAACACTGGGTTTCATCACAAGAAATCCCAAAATATTCTGAAACCATCAGGTGATCTTCGTTGACAATCTTCGGATCCGGGAACTCGATCTTATCCAAATCTTTGGCCAGTGACTCGGTGGTCTCAGGGTCCAGCGCCAAGGGGGAATCAGTGGCTGCTGCCTCGGTGGAGACTGAAGAGGGGATCACCATGACATCAGGGGAAGCTCCAGTGTATGCAAGGGACAATTGGACAAAGCCGGCTGGGGAATGGAACAGATCAGTTGAAGAAAGAGAGAACTCTTTCTCAAGTGTTCTTCCATTCTTAGCAAGCACTTCAGACAAAGGCACCAAGGCAAAACCAAGAAGCTGATCTTCTAGATAATTCTTGACCCTGCTCAGCATCCATATCTCACATTTAAGAGAGGAATCAACAGAATTAACATTAAGGCGAAGATTCTCATTGAACACAGGGTTCCTTCCACCCCCATTAATGATCTTGGTGGAAACAGTGGTGTCAGGGTTGCTAGTTAAGCAGATCTTAGCATAAACATCTTGCTTGTGGTATATGCAAATGTTATGGATGTCCCTAGCTTGATGAATGCAGACATCAAGAACACCAATGGAATCTTCTAGATTCGGCTTGGTGGCTTCCTTTCCATTGACCTCTATGTCCTTAGACAAGGGACCAGACTTTTGCTTCTCACTATCACCCAACACAGAGCTCTTGAACGGCGACACAACAGATTGAGGAGAGTCCATGCTATAAGATATTACTGTGACTGAGAGAACAAGGCAAAGCACAAGAATTACACGAAAATAAAGTCAATTAAAGTCAAGCCAAGCTTTAAACTAAGCCAGATTAAAGAAATAGACCACATGATTATTCTGAGAACTTAAACACGAAAGAAAACAGGTATTGGATCAAATATCAACTAAAACCCAGAAGAAACAGCTTAAATCAACTGCGTTAAAGTGATTACCTAGGGTTAGGCAGATCCAAAAACAGATATTACAAAAACTGTAGTGAGAGAAATGACATCAAAAAGCAACAAGGGTGAGAAACGCAACCCTCGAGCCCCAAATGTGAGAGACAGAGAGAAGTAGGGAGCTTCAACTTGGATTTCTAGGAAGTGTTGTTGAGAAAGCCAATTCAGAAACAACAATTGCCAGTTCAAAATTTAGCTACGAGAAGAAAAACCCAGAATTAGAAGCCAAACTACACAAATCCCCAAGGAAGAAAGAACAAATTCTTAAGAACCAGAAACCCCAGCTCCCCAAAATAGAAAAATTCCAAGTAAATACTTTGAAAACCCAAACTGGACTGAACTTAATAAAAGCTGAGGCAGAAACAGTCAATGAAAGGGATGTTCCAAATTTGATCAGATTTCGATAAAGCAAGCAGTCAACTTTTCTAAACAGAAGCACTCCACCGGAATCCAAGGGAAGAAAACAGGAAAAGCAAGAAACACAATGACCCAAGCAGCGTTCGTGTCACATAATTCCAAAACAAAACCCCAACTTAAGTTCGAAAATTCCCCACTTGGAATCACTCGAGAACCCCAGAAGAAACAAACAAGAATTGAGTGAAAAGAAAATAGAGAATTGAGAAAAAGCAACAAGCTGATTGTAAATACCGAGACGAAGTTGCGCTTTTAATTTTCCCCGCCTTTGCCACCGAAGTCAAAGTGGAATCTGTTCGAGTGGCTCTAATCCCCAATCAATGGACGACCTAGCTCGTGAATCGAGACGGTGCTGTTGAAGAACATACGAAAGAGATAAGAAATGTCAAAGCTGAATTAAAAGCTTGGAGAGAGAGGCGACAGAGTTCAGGCAAGTGTGGTCTCTTCTGAAGCCGTCTGCGGAGAGTCACAGAGCGTGTCCTTGAGGATAGTATTTCAGGAAATATACTAAAGGATTTTAATAATGAAATGCTGCCTCCATTTTTTATTATAAATTTTAAATAAGTAAAATATATTTTTGTTTTTAAATATATTTCTGTAATAAATGAAAAAATAATTAAAAAATATGTGAAAAAACATGATAAGAGAAATTATAACCAAAAAAGACAACAAATAATTAAAAATAAATTAAAAAAGTATATTAAATATTAAAATAAACAGTCAAACACGAAATTAAAACTTATAAAATAAATCATATCTTTCTTTAGATTTAAAGTTTATAAATAAGACTAGAGGTATATTTTAACTCTCCCAACTTTTTTTGGGGCCAAAACTCACCCAATTAAATTAACATTGTGGTACTTTTCTATTGGACTCTCATTTAAATTAATACAAGAGTATTAAGCATCTCTTTTATTTATTAAGAGTATTAACTTGACCTACTCAATATATAAATTCTCAACTCACACTTAGCATCTTCTTAAGTGTTGTTCAAATTTAAGTATCAGTTGTAAACTCTATGTGAATGTGATAAGTGTACAAGTTCTTCTCCCGAATAAAAAATGGCAAAAGAAAAATCAATATATAAATTCTAACATGCTTATTAATATAGCATTGTTGCCAAGCGATTGCAGCTCAATTGGCACGTCATGCCTCTTCTCATAGAGGAGGTCATGGGTTTTTTATCCCATGTGGCCAAGCAAGAATGAGGGGGCCTGTGGGTTCCCAATCTTACAAGGGAAGAGGATTTTTTCCCCCCACAAAAAAACTGAATAGCATTAACCTAAGAAAGAGACGCACAAAAAAATTACAACAAATAGGGATTAACTTCTTTTATCACCATCCATCTCGGCTAAAGAAAAGATGGAGCGTAATCAAAGATGCAATAATTTTCTCCTCAAGACTATAAGACATCTTAGCAAATCAATCTGCCAATAGAGTTGTTAGGTCTAGGGATATAGTTCAAAATAACCTGTTAATCTCTACAAAATAAAGTTCTAGGCTTCTAGCTTTATCTACAAGGTCTCTAAAAGGATATGCAGAATCACAACCCCTATTCAGTACATTAATAACCTCTGTACAATCGGAAAATACAAAAACCTATCTATAGTTCCTAACTAGCATAAGTAAGCCCAATTAATTCTATAATGGCTAGTGGGACGTTAGTAATTTTACAACTTAAGTCGTAGATCCAAACATTGTCATTATTCTTAATAACTCCTCCACAACCACTAGTTCCTCCTCAATAGCATTGATTTTTTTTTAATTATTATTGCAATCAATTTTTCAGTTCATTTCTATTCCAAAAGAATTTAAAAGAAAATCATTCACACCATGCATTTAAGATCTTATTTTCAAGTGGTTTGTAGAATGCTATTAATTTTTGTTAAAGAAATATAAACTATCGATTAAGCTACGTACTGTTTTATAAATTATTTGACAATTTAAAATTTTTCTCAATAATATAGAAAACTTCTATTTGGTGACGACTCTATGTTCTTCTTTGAAGGCATAGTAAGGGATTCCAAACTGTTAAAGATGCTCTGAAGACCTATTGTGGATAGTTAAGACGAGATAAATCACTCTAAATCAACACTCATCTTCAGTCTTAACGTAACTTATGCGGATAAATTACATTTTTCTCAAGAGATAGGCTTTTATTTTTCCTCCTGGCTTGATAAATATATTGGTACATGGGTAGATCCAGGTGGTGACAAATCTCCTGTCTATAATCAAGTTGTAGATGTGGTGGACAAAAGAACCAGTAACTCGAAAGGGAGATTACTTTCTCAAGCTAGTCGTCTAGAATTGATTAAATCTATTCTCTCAGCCGCTAATTTAATTTGCATGTGCTGTCATTCTTTAAGCTCCCTTAATATGTGTGTGAAAATATTGACTCTAGATACATCAACTTCTCTTGGGGACCTTCCGGTGATAAGAATGGAATGCATATATTAAGGAAAGAAGTCCTTTTTCTCCCAACACAACAAGGTGGTCTTGGAGTCCGACCTACTCGAGCCATTAATCTTGCCTTCGTACTGATCAAGTGTCGAGGCTTATTCATGCAAATATTTCTCCCCTCCTAGCCTCTACTCTAGGAGTTAAATGCATGGACCTTTCTAGCCGTGAGATTGTTAAAAACCCTTATAATTCTTCCTAGCTCTAGAAAGGCATGTTGGAGCGTGCTCCCTTAATTTTTAGCAAATTGAGGCGGAAGATTGGAAATGGTTCTTTAATCCCTATTTCCCACCTTTTGTGGTGGCCCGTACAAACTGATCATGCCAACACAATGAGTATTCAAAGTGTTGCTAACCTATGAATGCATGTTTTCCGTTCGTGGAATCCAGTTTAATGGAATACAACCAAGTGAGATCAATCTACTCTCCTTCAATTGCAAAAGTAATTTTAAACACTTTAATATTTTTCTCAAAGACACCTGATAAGTTAATCTGGCTGGGTGGAGATAGAAACAGGCCAGGTCAGGCCAGGCTTTGTCCTTAACAGGCTAGGCCTGTTTAGTAACACACTAGTCTGAGTCTGGCTTGTGGCCTATAATAGGCCTTTTTTTCCAGTCTCAGCCTAACCTATATGAAGGCCTGACCTAGCTTGAACCTGTTAAAAAGGCCTGTAATTTTAAAATTTTCAAAATGCATAATAAAAAATATATAAGCTAATAAAAAATGTAAAATGTACATCCTGCATGATAATTATTTTTTTACTATTATTTGTTATTTGAATTTTAATGTCATGGGTAATATTTTAAATCTTAATTACAGTTAATATTATTAAAAACAAGTTATAATTATATATTAAAATTTAAAATAAGACTAGATATAAGTATAAAATAAAAATTAAAAATAAGTTAAAAAGGCCAGGCCAAACCTGACGGGCCTAACAGGCTTTCCAAAAAGCCTCGGCCTGGCCTATTAGACTAAATAGGCCATCAAAAAAGCTTGAGCCTTTTTTTGTTTTGAAAAAGGTCAGGCCAAGCCAGGCTAAATACAGATCAAGCAACAGGCTCCTGACAGGCCGTCTAGCCTATTTTCACCCTTATGGGTCGGGCATCATTTAGGGTTATACACATTTAAGGAAGAATTCAAATGCTATTTATGTTCTTCAGTAGAGTCTCATGGAATTTCTTATCTTTTTTGAAAATTTCTTTGGTCTTCATAAATACCTTACAAATGCTTGTTGTTCATATGAAAATTTTGCATAGAGCAATACCTGTTATTGATATACTTCGTGATCATCACCTCAATATTATGGGTCACTGTCCTTTTCGATGTCCAACTGATGAAGCTTTGGATCATTTGACGTTTACGTGCCCTTACTCTAAAGCTATTTGGTTTACTTTTTTTCAGTTAGACCATCTGATCTCCCAAGCCTTCAACTTCTTCAATGGCTGAAGGATTTTTTGCTTTATTTTCACTCTTATGATCAGCTAGATACAGCAAGAGGTATTATTGTCCTACTCAATACATTGTTGCGCAAGGGGAGCCTGGTAATTCATGAAGAAAAGGTCACATCACCGCATATAGTTATTCAAGAAATTTTCGGAGCACTTTCATTATCCTATAAATACTCCACCGGCAATGGACATGAGTGGTTAATAGTGATATACATGAGACGTCGTGCTAGATGTATCTTTTGACATGCCTCATAATCATTATCCAATGCAATATTTCATTTGAAAGAGAGTTCATGCTCCTAGTCACACTTTTATTCCCAACGGTCCACAAGCATTATTAAATTGGATATGCAACTTCGACGTTATTGGACTAAATCAACGAGTTGTTGGCATCCAATGTCTATCATTTGATCCAAAGGTTACTTTCACGGTTGTCCCCAATGTTACCGTTGAGGATATTAGTTTCTCTCCAAATTCTTTTACTTCTTTCTCATGTAGGGTAGCAGATGTTAGTTATTTTAGTAGGTTTAGAGATGTTCTTATTTTCCCTTAGTTTATTAGAACCTTATAGATGTTTTTATTCCTTTTTAATATCATTTTGTCTTTTATTTAAAAAAAAGAAGAAGAAGAAGAATAAAAGAGTAGCAATTTGACAGTCTGAAATGGTTTCAATACAAGCTAAAGTTAATACTCCTACTAAATGAATAATAATTTTCAATTTTTTTATTTAAAAATTAACTTAATTATTGAAGGTGATGCAATAGTATAAGAATAAATTAGTAATTTAAAAGGATTTACATATAAACCAAGTGAAATTTAAAAATATATAAAAGTTCAGTTTTAATTTAAATATATTTATGTTTGATGAACTGAAATTAAAAATTAGTTTAAAATATTTACCCAAAAAAATTTTATTTTTAATTTTTATTAAAAGTATACAGATCTTCCCGCTATTTTAAAAATTTATAGGAACCTAAATTATAAATGAAGATATTTAAATATATTAAAATTTTTTATAGAAATTTTTATACTTAAAAAGATGTCATAGCAAAATAAAATTAAAAGTTTTTTTTACCAAAGAAACAAAATTTAAAGTTAAATTACTTATATTCTCGAAAATTTTTCTCCAATCACACATGGCTCTCCTATTATTTCTAGAAAAGCTTCGTGTGTATTTCAAAAGAAATGACCAATTTTTCTACTAGAAAAAGTAAAATAAATATAAAAAAAGATAAGATACAAATTTGTTAAGAAGGTTTTCAGTTAAGAGTGCTCAACACAGAAAAGTTTTTTTTGGGTGCAAATTTATTCTAAAAATTTAAAATCATAACAATATTATTAGTCAACATTAAAAATGTTAACAGTTAACATCACTATTTTACAATTTTAAACTTTTTAGGTAAATTTGTATTAAAAGAAAATTCTATTTGTCCAGTGCTTTTGAGTGAAAACTTTCTAGACAAATATACTTCCTAACACAAAAAATTATATAAGTGACAAGTTTGGGTAATATATATGAATGAAATTTAAGACAAATAAAATAAGTTACTTTTGAATTGATTTTC